AAGGCTCCTGGCTTCCTTCTTGGCCACCAATCAGAGAGCTGCCCAGAGCGAACAAGCACTTCTGTGTCTGCACATTGGTTGCCTTTTTGGATTTTCATCCTTTTATTTTTTAATCGATTCTAAAATGCAGACTCTCCTGTCCCAGTTCATCCGCAGAGAAATGTCTTGGACCATTTTCTTCTCGTCAGTCCCTCCCCGGCTCTCATCATGACTGTGCAGGGAAAACGCTTTCCAACCATGCTTTTCCTCTGCTCTCACACTGCAACAATCAACACGGAAGACGTCGGTGACTGAATGTGTGCAGGTGTTTCCCCGACACCAATTCAACTCTGATACCATCTGCCTGGACATAGCATCAGATCCCACGGGTTGAGGACTCAGTACCCAAGGCTGCCCCCTCCTCCCCAGACACCAGTTGCCAGTCTCGGCCTCTGGAACTTCTCACCGACCAGCTTCAAGTTGGGGTTCCCATGACTCCCCTCTCTGGGTTCAATTAATTTGCTGGAGCAGCTCACAGAACTCAGGGAAACCCATTTAGTGGTTTATTCTAAAAGCTGTTACAAAGGATACAGGTGAAGAGATGCATAGGATGAGGTGTGGGGGAAGGGGCACGGGGCTTCCCTGTCCCCCCTGGATGCTTCACCCTCCAGGAACTTCCGTGTGCCCAGCTGTCTGGATGCTCCCTGAAGAACCCTGACCTCTTGAGGTTTCATGGAAGCTTCGTGACATCAGCATTCCTTCCCCAAGGTGTAGGGCAAGTCCCTCTCTGGGGAGGGCCTCAAGCCCCATAGTCAGAAAGGTGGGGAAGATTAGAGTTCTGTCTTGGAGCAGGTGTAAGGAGCGCAGGAGTGGGATTCTGTTTCCTGAGGCCCAACGTTATAGCAAAAGACTGTAACGAGGGCTATGGGAGTTATGAGCTAGCAACTTTGGATGAGAACCCGTGTGTGTGTGTGTGTGTGTGTGTGTATAACACCACAGTGTCATTGTCTCATCTCTGGTCACTAGTGCCCTTCTCTCTGGGTTTCCTGGCCATTGCACACATCTCCACCAGGGCCTCAGCTAGAGCCTTTGTGAAGGAGAGTTCCTTTGCACCAGGTTAAGCAGGGCCCCCAGGTCTTTTGAGGGACAGAACAGGGCCTGTTGGTTTCCGAATGCCCCCAGAATCCGTGGTGCATTTCCCTCAAGGCCTTGCTGTCCTCTGGCCCCACACTTGCCTAAGGAAACCTTCGATCCATGTTATGTCTCCATTATGACCTGTGAGGGTGGGGTTTGCCTGTCTGGTTGATTCCTGTATCCACAGCATCTAATCCAATATGGTACTTGTGAATGCATGGATTTGTGGTTGCCCAGGTATTCCTTGTGGATTGATAGTGATTGCTAGAATCAGAGACCCAGAGGGCAGTCTCTTTCATAAGGCCTGTGTTATCTATATCTGTGAATAGGCCTGACATGGCTTGGCTTTGTGTCCCCACCCAAATCTCATCTTGATTGTAATCCCCATAATCCCCAGGTGTGGAGGGAGGAATCTGGTGGGAAGTGATTGGATCATGGGGTCTGGTTCCCCCATGCTGTTCTCATGATAGTGAGTGAGTTCTTATGACATCTGATGGTTTTATAAGTGTCTGGCATTTCCCCTGCTTGCTCGTCTCTCTCCTGCCACCATGTGAGGAAGGTCCTTGCTTCCTCTTTGCCTTCTGCCACCATTGTAAGTTTCCTGAGGCCTCCCCAGACACGTGGAACCGAGAGTCAATTAAACCTCTCTCCTTTGCAAATTACCCAGTCTTAGGTATTTCTTTATAGTGGTGTGAAAACAGACTAATACAAGGCCCCTCACTTGCACTACTGAGACTCATCAGTTTTAAAATAGGGCAGTCTCCTGAGGGCATTTGGTCCTATTCAATATATTTGTTACTCAGTAATGGAAGGTAATGCTGGGGGGTGAACATCAAGGAAAGTGTCATGAGTCCAAGTCCATCTTAATTTATTTGCTATCAGAATGAAGGAAGAAGAAATATATTTAATGGTGTCTTCCCACTTCCTCTGAGCTATCCACTCTGGGTAAGTTCCTAATTTATTGTTAAGGGTGTTTCAGAAGCAGAGAGAAGTTCCTAGTAAATCCTAAACATGAGGATTAGGAACCAGAGCCCTGCTGTTCTGTAGCAAGAACACCGGCACCCTCTGTGCCTTGGCTTTCCACTATGAAGTAGGTGATCTACCACCCCCATGCTCCCTGCCCCGTAAATCACAGAAATAATGGTGACTGGCTGAAAAACAGAATTTTCCACTTCCTCAGGACTGGCTGTGCTCAGTGGCATTTTAAAAAATCAGCTCTGGATGTCGTGGTGGGATTTGTGTAGGAGGGTTCCTGGTGATGATTCAGGGGATGGATCGTTCCTTGAGAGGTATAAATAGGCTTCCCCCCAACCACCCCACTTAACTAAAATACTGCTTTTTGAAGTATGTGTTCTGTTCAACAGCTAAAACATTATGAACCAAAGACAGTAATGTGATGTTAGCCCCTGAAAAGGCAGAAGCTAGAATATATCTCTCATGCTGTTTTTTGATCCACAGGATGGGAAGGAGGACTGATCCACGTTCCCACCAGGAAGCTTAGTGGAACCCCCGTATGCCACCTGGACCCCCTGGAAGGACCTGGCCAAGGCTGAACCACCTCTTGAGAGGCAAGAGCTCCAAATTTGATCAGAAATTCTTGGCTGGGCATGGTGCCTCATGCCTATAATCCCAACACTTTGGGAAACCGAGGTGAGAGGATCGCTTGAGCCTGGGAGTTCAAGACCAGCCTGGGCAACATAAGGAGACCCCATCTCTAAAGAATAGTAATAATAAAATAAAAAATTAGCAGGGCATGGTGGCATGTGCCTGTAGTCCCAGCTACCCAGGAGGCTGAGGCAAGAGGATGTATGGAGCCTGGGACGTTGAGGCTGCAATGAACTGTGATTACCCCACTGCACTCCAGCCTGGGCAACAGAGCGAGAGACCCTGTCTCAAAATAATACTAATAATAATCTTATTTTGGAGAATAAAGAAACCTTTGGATTTGAGGAGCCATTTGGGTAGAAAGCAAAGACCTTCACAATGAGAAATAGTCTGTGTTGACCTGAAGGAGCAGAGGGATGCATCGCTGGAGGTGACCTACAGTTGGAGAAGACTCATTATGCCAGACCTTGTCCTTCTTCCTTGTGGAAAATGTTTCCTCTGCTGCTGCTGCTCATGAGACTCTTCCCCCTCCCTGTCTCAGGCAACCAAAGGGCTTTCTACCACACCCTTTCTTGCCCCCCGCCTCCCATGTCTGCTGTGCCTTTGTACTCAGCAATTCTTGTTTGCTCCATTATCTTCCAGCCGGATACAGAGTGAATAGTTAACCACACTTAGGTCAAATAGGATCTGAATTTTTGTTCCTGCTCCGTCTAAAGAGGCCAGTGTTTGTGCGTTGCAAGCAGCCTTGGAATAGTAACTCTTCTCATTTGTTTGGGATCTCATTGTATTCCTCAGCCATCAAGTTCCAGAATGATACACGGATCAGTGCAGAAGTTCATCAGGCTCTCGGACCTTAGGGCTGTTGGAGAAGGCTTCAGCAAGGGAACTGATGGTGAAGGCTGGTGTTCTCCATCCTCAACTTTCTTTGCTTGGATCACACATAAGTATACATTTGGAAGGGCAAAAAATGAACACTGTTGTTCATTGCAGCCGTGTTTTGTGACACAGATGCACAGTCTGCTGTGAAGACCTTCTCGCAAGTGGCAGTTGGGGGTCCATGCCAGATCATGGTGCTTCGTGACAGACTAACAGCTACTAGGGATGGTGGCACTTAGTGAGGACACTCCTCCCCCAGTGTGTGCTGATGACACATACACACCTGACAATAACTTGAGTCTTCTCTGTTCTTTTTTACTCTGTGGCCACCATACACATGATTTAAAACCCTTCCTAAATATCTATCATGGTTCACCCTTGTCCAAATGCAGAGTCAGAGCTACTTGTACTTTATTATTATTTCCAAGGCAAATAGATGGCTTGCTTTTTACAAAAAGAATTAAAGCTTTTGTATGTTGCAGTTGGTGTGCTTGTATGAACATTTAGTGAATCTGGTGTCTTCTAAGTGGAACAATGGAGTCTTTGTGGACATCTCAGATTCATCACAAAATGATTGAGGAGAACCTCTTGACAATGTTTAGAGCTATTAAAATTTACAGATTGTTGATGGGCTTTCACCTTTTCCTTCCTTGCTTGACACACAGTTACAGGCATTGTATTCCTTGGATTCCTACAAGTGTCAAAGAACAGAGATCCACTTACATTACTTTCATAAATGCTGGTTTATTCAAAAGTCACAGTGATAGTAAGGTAGACAGGAAACAGTCCCAACCACTGCCTAGCTAAGCCTTTTCAAAAAGTCCAAGGTCATTCAGCAGACGCAGAAGCACTAGTTGGTTTCCAAGGATAACGAGCAATCCCATCATGGTCATCTTGATCCTCTGTTCAGCAGCAGGTTTTGCTGTCCCTGACTCTAGAATTCTGCTGTGGTGATGAGCTGAGGGTAACCAACGGTCCCAGTTTGCCCAGGACTAAAGGGTTTCTTGGGATGAAGGATATTCAGTGCTAAACCTGGGACAGTCCTGGGCAAACTGGGACAACTGGTCACCCTCCTGGGTGACTCAACGACTCTGCCTCTACTTTGTTACTTACTATTAACTGACTGATGCTGTTGACTGGTTTAGCCAATCTGCATTCAGAGCTCTTGTATCTGGTTACTTCATTGGCCCTCAGGCAGCCACAGGTGGATGCTATTGGATCAGGCACCAATGCTGACCAAATCAATTGTTTCCAGGATGGTAGGGTTGTATGAAGAACCAAATGAGACCATGTCCTTCTGAGTGTTGTAGATGGTGGGCATGGCAGGCCTTCAAAGTATCAGGGATTCCTCTCCAATACAACCTTACTTACAAAGGAGAAACTAACTTTCTCATGAGAAACAGTTCATTAAGAAACAAAACTAACACAGTCACGGGGAACTGAGGAAGAGAGCCTGTAATGTGTGTGCAAGCACACACACACACACGCATACACATGCCCTCTGTAGAATAATGAGCCAAGATTCCAAATCTGCATCTTTGCTAGACAGAGATCAAGAACTAAAATCTTTGGGATGGTGTTGTCTGGGAAGCGAAGGAGTTGGCTCGAGGACTTCCTGAAATTCCTTTGAACTCTAGAATCCTTTAAAATATCAAGGGTGTGTAAACTGGGGCTAAGTATGTACATTCTCTCTAAAGTCTCCTAGATAACCTTTGAGTTCAATTCAGTGTGGAGTGGGGCCTCCCAGTTTATACTTAGCTTTCTAGACACTGACTTTATCTGGGATGAGGGAGCAGAACTTGGAGGTGGTGGTCGGGGTGGGGGCAGGGGGAGTGGGTAAGGGAGAGTTGTACCAGCCCAACTTTTTTGGTCTTCATAACAAGTAAGAACAATCTGAAGGCAAATTACAGGTTCTTTTGTGGACTAGAAAAAGCCAGGTTTTCAGGATTGCGTGGCATCCTGAAGTTGTTGCTGCTTGTCGGAGCATCTGGCCTCCATCTTTTCTGCTGAAAGACAGGCATGAGTGTTTACAGTGCTGGAACAGGGGCCTTCAGATAATTTCATTCATCTGGCATGGCAAGACCACAGGGAGGGAATTACATGCTAGGGTAGGGATGAACGTATGGACATACCATGCACCTTGGTGTTTGCCCCTGTAGCAATTCTCACTCACAACCTTCACTACCATTGGAGGGATGCTCACCCACCTCTTTGGGTGCCATTTTTCTTTTTTAAAAGATGAAGGCATTTCAGATGATCCCTTCATTTATGTTCCACTTTCACTCTTTGGTTTCAAAAGAAGTCCTGATCTTATGTCAAAGGCAACAATCTCTTCTCTCAATCTCTGTCTCTCTGTCTCTCTCTCTGGCTCACTCTGTCACCCAGGCTGGAGTGCAGTGGCATGATCTCAGCTTACTGCAGCCTCGACCTCCTGGGCTCAAGAAATCCTCCTGTCTCTGCCTTCTGAGTAACTGTGACCACAGCTGTATGCCATCACGCCCAGCTCATTTTTTTATTTTTACTTTTTTGTAGAGACAGGGTCTACACCATCTTGCCCAGGCTCGTCTTGAACTCCTGAGATCAAGGGATCCTCCTGCCTTGGCCTCCTGAAGTATGTGAGCCAATGTGCCTGGCCCTCTCTTTTCTTATCTCCTTATCCACATGCAGTCACAGAACCTGGGAGGCTGAAGTGGTCTGAAGCATCACTCTTCCCTAGATTTATCTCTGACTCATGCAGGAATCCCCTTTCAAATCTGGCAAGGGATCGTTCAGCCCAGGGGAGAAAGGACTATGAGAGAGGCTGAGTGATACTCAGCCTGATGGGGAAGCAGTTGAATTTTAAAGAGTGTTTCATGTACTGCCAAGTGGCCACGAATGTCAATTTCTTAATGAGATTTTGTGCTAAATGCATTTTGCCAGCTCCCCCATGTTTATGCTGGTAAAACAAACAAACAAACAAACAAAATGCAGTGCAGGGAGGCAGAGACCTAAGTTTTTGTCTCAGAAAGCCCCTCATCATCTTAATTTCTTCCATATAAAATGAGGGATTTGGGCCACATGATCCCTGGAGCCTATTCTATTAATAGTTCTGACATCCACAATGTTGGCATATTTGATGGATAAGCTATCAGCCTTCTAGGAGTCCATGTCTTAAAGATTTGCTGGGGTTTTATGTCTCAGAATAGGGCATTAGATATTGTCCAAGGTACAATGTAAAGGGATTTCATCTTGCCTTAATTTCATTATGAACATAACAATTTCAAATTAGCTCCCCGACACTGCCCCCACCCCCCAATTTTGTTCAGCCTTGCCTGTGAGATTTCCATGGCATTGGAACTTGATTCACAGGAGAACTTTGATCCTCTTCAAATGGCCCTGGAAACCCATGTGGGAAAATATTAGTCACGTTGACAAGAGAGATAGGAGGTTCTTGTGGTGAAACAAGTCCCTCGGCTCAGGAGGCTGCAGTTTAAAGGATTTCAAGGTGACCTTGGAAGTGGCCGCTGACCTTGGATAAGACACTTCTATGCCACGCTGGTGGAGAACAGGCGGAGGGAGGCCTGAAGACAGCCCTGAACTGAGGGGTCTGGAAACCTGGACACCGGCCTTGCCTTTGGCTTCGGCTAAGTCCGGGTCACATGTAAGTCACTCCAGCCTCTTCTCTGGGTCTCAGTTTTCTCATCTATAAAAGGGACAGAGAAGGGGCAGGGGTTGGTCTGACGATCCTCTGAGGTTCCTGCCATGCATCAAGTTCTCAGCCTTGCCTGGCCCAGCTGGTTCCTGACCAGCAGTAGCCCTTTCTCCCTTTGCCTTTGGCTGTGCCAGTCAAAAACAGGGCTGTCCGGGAAGTCCATTACCAAAGAATACTTCAAAGCTGTTTGCACGCATTGTCAGTTGCACTGAACATGAGTTTGTTGAGGGAGAAGGTAAATAGACATATAGGCCGATGACAGGAGGGGTGGAAGGGGGACCACTATTTACCCCCAGGGTGACTGTGAGGGAAAAAAAAAAAAACCCTGCCTGCCGTTTTGGCCAATAAATAAAAACTGGGAGCTCTGCGTGGCTAAAACCGTAGGGGATTTATTAGTTTGCTTAGTGAAAGGCAAATATTAAATCTTAAGTTGACCCGTCCTGGGACCTGCCTTTTGGCTTTTGTATGCCATGCGGCGCCGATCACTGGGCCCTCGGGTTATCGAGTTTTGTTGAAGGTTTTTTTTTTTTTTTAATTGTTTTCCGCCTCCGTCTTCTCTTCCTCTTTCACCTGCCCCTTCCCACTATGTCCCACCTTTTTCGGTAACTTAGATGGGGGTTTTGGAGGGGTGAAAAGGGCAAGGGTGAAAAACATGTTCTGCTTGTAGAACCGTCTCTGCCCAGGGCTCTGGCTAGCCCGGGAATTGCCGATGCCTGGGATGTGGTGACTCCGGGGAGTGACTCCAGCAGGTGGTCCTCGCGGGTCCCTTCCATCCTCTCTCCTGGACTCTTAATGTTAGGTCCCAGGTGTAAGGCAAAGGCCTTGTCCCTCACGAAAATCAGCATAATGACAAGCACTGGAAAAGAACAGAGTATGCCTATTTCTAAGTTTTAACTTCCCTATCTGAGTCTTCATACCCAGCCATGGCAGATGATTTCAGCCTGAAAGAGGAACTGTTCAAGGTGGGGCTGTGCCCATTAGGGTCTGACCAGGGCTTGTGACTCACCATGGAGTGAAATATTGGGGCAAGAGGGGCTGGATGGCCACTGAGTCTGTTCAGTTTTCAAGTAGGAGCTGCAGTGAAACTAAACTAGATGGAGCGTTATTTATCCTTTGCTTTAAACATCCACAGCGTAATCCACCCTATTCTAAAACGCTGCAGTTTGTGGGTGCTAAGGTCTCCGTGGTGGTGCTTGCTAACAGCCACCCACTGTCGGGTACAGCACAGCAGGACACACTGCTCCATGTCAGACCCTAAGTTCCCGTTTCCTGGTCCACCCCAGTGACCGTTCAGCATGCATCTTACTCATCTACCTGGGGCACTATGGCTTCCCAAATCACTACTCACATTCTAGAACTGCTTACTTCAGAAAGTTTCTTGCACATTCCAGTAATGATTTTCTTTTTTTTTTGAGATGGGGTCTCACTGTGTTGCCCAGGCTGGTCTTGAACTCCTCTACTCAAACAATCCTCCCACCTCAGCCTCCCAAAGTGCGCTGGGATTACAGGTGTGAGCCACCATGCCCGGCCCAGTAATGATTTTGTATTGAATTCAGCATGATCATTAATCCTTTGGCAATTCTTCACAGAAGAGTCTATTTTTTAAAGGATACACATTGGGCATTCAGGGTACTGAAATCCTACGAATGCTTCAAGGCTCATCTCAAATGCTTCCTTCTCTCAGAAGCCTTCCTGGATTTCTCCTTCCCTCTCAACCACTTGTGACCTCTCCCTCGCATATTCTGACATAGGTACTCAGAAAAATGCCAGTCTTCCTTCCTTAACCATAGCACT